TAAAGCTTCCGCCGTTGAGTGATCCTTTTACGTAGACCATATCGCTGATCCTTTCGTAGGCGGCACACAGCCTTTGAAAATCGTAGTGGCTATAGGTGGCGATATGGTCTATGCATTGAATTGCGGGAGCCTAGAAGTCCGTGTTTTCGTCCCATCAGACATATCTGGTACCAGTTAACCGTCCTGGAACTTAAATGGTTCGGTTATCCTGCGCAGGAGCCGATATGGGATCTGACCCTTGGACCGCTCACGTGGTAATGGAGCCAGTGGCCACCGCATCTCCTGCATTCTCTTTGATCTAATGCGTCAAGAAGCTTTGGTGACCAGAACTGTGAACTTCGTGTTTGTTTACTTAATAAAGCCCAATGACATTTTTCATATATCATTTCTCTTAAAACCAACAAATTGGGAGGAAGGGGCACTGTAACCAAACCCCTTCCTACCAGCTTGTGGGATCCGATATTACTGGCCCTCAAACCATTAAGACTGAAAGCAATGATTAGTGTCACCATGAGTTAGTTCAAAGATGCTGTAAATCTTCATTCCAGACTTCCAAGGAGCCACCTGTTCCACCGGAAGCTACTACGGTATTTATGGAAGATCAGTTTGTAGATCAATCACAAGCCTCTTGGGCTTTCACATTTGACTTCTCAACGTGGGCGAGTAGGCATCATGTTGTTGAGGTGAGTAGAAAATCATGCGCTGTTCGGGTTGGGAGGCGTATTTTGCACTTCCCACTGGTCCCTTTTGCATTAATAACGGATCTTACTTTGGTACAGCCTGTAAACCCTCGCGAAACTGCGAAATTGTACAAATGACATTGGTTACAAGAATGTACAGATTTTCACATGGTGCCTGTACACACCTTACAGAGCCCCTTTTGATGCCCCCATCAAGCCGAACAGTCAAAATTTATTACAGTTTTGTTGAGGAGTGTTTCCTGATATTACATAACGTTTTCAGGTCTGTCTTCAAAACTTTTGCTCGTTCCTCGACCGAGAGCATCCACGGATGGAGTTTCCTGGTAACAACGGGCATCTCGATGGTAATAACCATGGAAGTTTTCCACATAATGGTGCCA